CCTCTCCACTGTATATGTTCAGAAATGTTCAATAAAAAATAAGTATAAAAAAAAAAAAAATTAATTCAGATACAAAACTTTAAATTCAGTTTCTATTTAGTGAAATTTATTTTCAAACCAATGAATTCAATTTCAAATGATGAACATTCAGATTCACTTCCTGCTGGCACAAGATTTAATCCACAGAAACACTGAGCTCTGTCTGTTTCTGCCTCCAGGTCCTGTGTGGTGGGCTGTTCCTCCGCAGAGTTTTACTTCTTATCTCAGAAAGGAGCGTTTCTTCTCCTGGACCTGCTCAGAGTAAGATCTGACAGCAGCTTGTTGTTCTGGTTTCATCTCATCTGTTGTCTGGATGTTTCAGTCTGAGTGTTTCTGTCAGAYGGGTCCTCGGTGCGTCCACAGCCCCCTGCTCTCCACCCTGCTGGGTCTCTGCCAGAACCCGGACTCCCGGTCTCAGGTCCTGAGCTGGAGGGACGCCGACGGTCAGACGGCCCCCCGGCTCCTGCTGCAGCTGTGGAGGGAGGAGGAGGAGGAGCTGGGAGTCCTCCGAACCCAGCGAGGATTGATTCAGGGTCTGCTGCAGTTAGATTAATAACAACTGAAACATTTATTATCATCATTATTTTCGTTTTATATATTTTTTTGTTTTTAGACCCCAGAAAGCCCCTCCTGACTCGTTCCCATCAGGACGCCGGCGGTCCGTCACTTCCTGCTGACGCTCCGAGCGCCGCCGTGCTGGAAGTATCAGAGAACCTGCGAGCAAAGATTTACTTCATCCTCTGCAGTTTGGGTAAAAACCTCCTTTTTTATTTATTTCTTTATTTATATGTACTTTTATACATATTATATGTAACTTCTGTAATATAGGTCAAATTAATCACTGCAGTAAAATAACTTTGTTTTTGTCACTTCTACGGTGGATTGTTTCAACTCTGTTACATCCAGAAGGGAAACTTCABCAAAGTGAAACATAAATCTGTGGATCTGTGTTTGATTACTCTGAGCAGAGAAACAAGTAAAACATGCAGGGCTGCGGACCTCCAGGACCAGGATGGCCCATGTCTGTATTAGAGTCAAACAACAATGGGAGATCATTAATATACAAACTGAAAAGCAGTGGGCCTAAAATAGAGCCCTGCGGCACTCCACTCTTTGAAAGAAGATGGTGTTAATTCAGTTTCAGTCTCAAACAGGTCAAACTGAACGTTTCATTTTCTTCTGGTTCTAACTGTCAGGTTTTCTGGAGCTTCCTGGACTTTCAGCAGCAGATTCTGTGACTCTGAGCGTCGTGAGGAGATACCTGGACTTCAAGGTGGGTCCAGTTTCACACTCAGGTGCGCTGCAGGTGAAGGCTTCTGACGGTTCCTCCCGGCGCCGCAGGTCGGTGAGGTTTGGGCCGAGGTCGGAGCGGAGCTGACCCTGGACGACGTGAGACCCATCAGCCCCGACCGGGACGCCCTGAGGTCCGTCTGCGAGACCACGGAGGACACGGCGAGGAGGACCGTGGTGGAACAAGCTGACATCCTGCAGCTGCGGCAGGAGGAGGAGCTGAGTGAGGAGCTGCTGCTCTACCAGGAGGTGCTGCGAGGAGAAGCTCTGCAAGCAGCACGGAACACGTCCTCACGCTCCGGATCTCTGATCAGAACCGGACCGAAACGCAGAACCTGAGGTTCTTCAGCTGCRTCACTGACCCACGTCCAAAACTTTGTTTTAGTTTTTAAAAACATCGAGATTAAAAAAAGTGTTTGATTCTTCAGCTGGTTTTTATGAAGTCATTCAGTCTGCACAACACACACACACACACACACACACACACACACACACACA